CATTCTCGATCCATGGTCCCCTCTTCGATCTGTCTAATCTCTTCTCGAATCGCGATGAGGGAGTCAACGTAGCGATCCATTTCCGCTTTGTCCTCACTTTCCGTCGGCTCGATCATGAGGCAGTCATGCACTGGCCAGGCCATCGTCGGTGCGTGAAACCTGAAGACTTTCCTGTTAAGGTTTCCTGTCCAAATACACCGACCCGTAGTCCATTAGCCGCTTCGCAATGTCTACTACGTCGACTCCAGCCGACTTCTTGAACGGCTTGCAATCCACGATGAACTCGTGCGCATTAAGGCCCTGTTCGTCCTTGTAAACGATTCGGTAACCGCCCGCCTCCAGGCGCTTGGCCATGTAGTTGGCGTTCAGAATGGACATCTGCGATGCGGTTCGTAGTCCAGAAGCGCCCATTAGACGGATGTACGCCCACGTAATCGTTAGAATGCTAAGAAGAACATGATAAACTGCTGTCGAAAACAAGTTGAGTACCTGCTGGAGCCCCATGGTGCAGCACTCACTGCGCCTTCGGCATATGAGTTTAGTGGCACGATGGGATGCCCCGGTAGGAATGGTGCCAAATGAGACTTTCTACAATACCGAGAGCTTAGAGTGGTTTCCACCAACGTTTAGTGACATACACTCCAATCGGCCCCATGCCTGGTCCGCCACCTCCGTGAGGAATGCAGAAGGTCTTATGGAGATTAAGATGTGACACGTCGCTGCCGTAGTCCCCAGGACGACAGAGGCCAACCTGAATTCGCACTTTAGTCGTGTTGTACAGAAACGAAGCTGTTACCTGAGCGTTGAAATTGGCTCCGTCCAGGTACACTTGACCGCCGTTCTCGTGGACTTTATTGCACACGTCCACGATCGACGATTCGAACACACCATGCGTGGACGGGTAGGTAATCATGATGCAGGCAAGTTGATCCTTGTACTTCTCAGCCTAGAGGTGCTTGCTAATGATGGGAAGAATCTCGCTTTAACCCACCTTAGCGGAAAGGTCCTTGTAGTTGACATTTCCATGCTTGTCGGACTCGACCGGTAGCACCTTGAAGTTCACCATCTGCGCGCTGGCAGGGTTCGTCCCATGCGCCGAGGTCGGGATCAAGCAGATCTAGAAACAGATTACTCCTAGCTAGGAGTCGCAAGTGCTAACCTTTCGCTGGTCTTGCCCAGTGGACTCCAAGTACCCCTTGATCGCCAGCAGGCCAGCGTACTCACCATTGGCACCGCTATGAGCATCAAACGTTTACGATGTACAGAGCCTTCAAGTATACCTGTTCGGCTGCAAGGAGAAGCTGTCGTAGCCGGTGAGCTCACACAGCCACTTCTCGAGATCATTGAAGATCTGCGCGTATCCTCTCGCTTGGTCGAGCGGCGCAAACGGATGAATGTTCGCGAATTTCGGGAACGTCATCGGCGCCAACTCGGCACTCGCGTTCAACTTCATCGTGCAAGACCCCAGCGGTATCATCGAATGCACCAGCGAGAGATCTTTGTTTTCCAAGCGCTTAATGTAGCGCACCAGCTGCTGCTCGCTATGGTAGCTGTTGAAGATCGGGTGCGAGAGGAAGGCCGATCGTCTCGAGTGCTCCGAATTGCCAATCAGTGGTGCATGCTGTTCTCTAATGGCGGACTCTATCTCTTCCTGCAACAGTTGGCTATCAACGGTAACTGAAGCTCGCTTGGAGCTTACCACTGACGTGGGTGCCTTCACTCCGAAAAGATGCAGAATATCTCGGACGTCATCGGCGAGCGTGGTTTCGTCAAGAGAAATGCCAACATGACCGTCGTTGAAGTACCGCACGTTTATCCTCTTCTCCTCGCAGGTGACTCGGAAATCGGTCATGTTTCGTGGTCTTGCCTTGATGGTATCAAAGAATGTCTTGTGCACGGGTTCTATTCCATTCTGCTTGAGTTCTGTAATCGGTAAGGTCCATTCTGTAGGGTAGTATATGCTTACGGCTTGCGATATACGCAGCAGACTTGTGGATGTTGCGCGCAATGGCCGTGAGCCGATGTGGGCCGTGGTACACGGCGTACATTGCTGCCATGTTTGCCGGAAGAGCTTGTGCTGTGCAAATGTTCGATGTCGCCTTGTCTCGTCGAATGTGCTGTTCTCGCGTTTGAAGAGAGAGGCGGCACGCAGGATTACCGTTAGAATCTCTAAGACATCATGCCCCTTGCCATTGTGGAAAGGGCCCCTTACTTGCTAACACCTACGATTCGTCCCGGCATAAGCCTAGCGAGCGAGTTCTTCTCGTCCCTCTTCGCGACCGACATGTACGCAGGATGAGGCCCTCCATATCCGAGATTCAGTCCAAATCGTTGTGCGCTGCCGACCGCAATGTCTGCTTTGAGGTCACCGGGTGACTGAAGCAGCGTAAGCGACAGCAAGTCGCATGACATCACAACCAAGGCCTGGAACACTGTGAACAGTGATTACTCCCACCAGTACTTCTTACCCCTTGCTCATGGACTTTCTCAATCATTTTAGAGAGATCGCATACGAGGCCTTCCGTGTTGGGATATTGCACTATCACGCCGGCAACGTCTTTCGTCGCATTCGGATTATGTATGTCCAGCGGTGCCAGCGAAATGCCGAGCGGCCTAAAATGTTATACACTGCCTTTCGATGTGATAATGTGCGGACGCCCAATCGTTGCTTGATTGCTTACTTTGCGCGTGTTTGAAGAAGCGCTATGTTCTGCGGATGTAGCAGTGGATCGTAGAGAAATTTCTGTCGCTTTGTGGCGCGCACGGTTAGAGTCATCGCCTCCGCGCAAGCGGTACTTTCATCCAGCAACGAGGCGTTAGCGGTCTCCAAGCCAGTCAAATCCGCAATCATCGTTTGAAAGTTCAGCAAGCTCTCGAGGCGGCCTTGTGCGATTTCTGGTTGGTAGGGGGTGTATGGCGTGGTCCTAGAAACATGCTACGTAAGAATTCTTTCGGACAACTCACCATCCGGGATTTTGAAGAATGTTCACTTTGATGACGCCTGCAAAATTCGTCCATCTTCGTGCGCCAAACATGCGGTACCTGGCACAATGCAGTCGTTGAATCCCATGCCGATGTACGTTCGGTAGAACTTGTTCTTCGCTTCGATGCCCCGTAATTCAGTTAGCATTCGCCACTCGTCCAACGGCACGGGTAGTTCCAGCTGCCTCTTCAGTCGTATGGCTTCGGGGACATTTGTGTCGGTTAGTTGATCCAGGTCCTACGAGACAAGATAAGTAAGTGGAACTCAAGAACATACTTACCTTAAAGCCAAGGTAGTTAAGCATCTGTTGCCTCTCCAGCTCGTTCGGTCCGATATGGCGGTCGGCAAAGCATTCATAATTTACCGACCGCTCGAAGGTAAGCTGTTTTGCTGCCCTCGAAATCAGCTTAGACCTCATGCATTTATGGGTTCTCGCAGCATGTCGGCTTATCAAAACCGCTCGGTGCATGTCGGAGGACTACCGCTTGTGCACGGAGACAAAACCCAAACACGTGTGGGTCCCGAACCTTGCAGGGAATGCAACAGGTCGCGTGGGCTATTCGTTTTCCCGTCGTGCCCTTTGGTCATGTAACCCAGGACGAGTTTCTTACGCAACGCAGCTGCATCCTTATCATCGAAACGCACTCTCCAACTGGAGACATACGGAGATCATCGATCAGAAACTGCGTTGAGACCAGTAGGCAATTCGATTAGGTTAGCCCTAAGCACGCTAACTAGTGCCTAAAGGTTTTCTCTTGCATTTAAGATATTGTTTGCATAAAAAGTAAATGGACCGAAATAAAACCGAAACAAGAACATGGATAACAACCCTTGAAGGCAGATGGCACAATAATGACCATCTGTTTCAGTGACGAACCAGTAAGCAAACTGCTGCGAAGTGCAGCAACCTTCCGATGTCACTACAAAACGGTCTGGTTCTGTGTCTTGGAACATTAAGAATGTCAAACCCCGTATTTTCGCAACTTTGTTTAAGACGACCATCTAAAGCTGAACTACGAGTTTTCACATAACTTTGCGCTGCCTATTTAAGGACACCAAGCGGCTATATTGGTATAGCATCTACATGCTCATGGCCTCATGCTCATTGAGTTGGAGCAGGATGGAGTTGGACAAAGATGCAGAAGAATGGAGTTCGAGCATAGGAGGAGATGAATGCGAATGGATATGGAGCAGGACAAGATAGAGCTGGAGAAAGTTGGAGCGGGATGGAGTTGGAGCGTGAACTGGAGAAGGCTGGAGAGGACCCGGTAAGAGCTGGGGTAGGATGGAGTTGGAGAAAGATGGAGATGGAGTGAAGTGGAGTTTGGATACGGATTGAGTTGGAGTAGAAAGGAGCTGGAGCATGATGGAGATGGATCAGGTTGGCGTTGGGGACGGATGGAGTTGGAGCAGCATGGACATGGAGCAGGATGGACATAAAGCAGAATGGAGATGGAGCAGGATAGAGTTGAGTTAGAGAAGGATTGAGTTGAAGAAAGATGTAGGAGGAAGGGTATGGAGTTGGAGCATAATGGCGATGAAGCATGCTGAAGATGAAGCAGGTTGGAATTTGGGACGGTTGGAGTTGGAGCTGGATGGAGATGGAGCAGAATGGAGATTGAGCCGGATAGAGTTGGAGTATCAGTGAGTTGAAGGAAGATGTAGGAGTAAGGGTATGAAGTTGGATCATAATAACGATGGAGGAGGATGGAGACGGAGCAGGATGGACCTGGAGCCGGAAGGGGTTGGAGAAGGATGGAGGAGTATGGATGGAACAGAATGGAGATGGAGCAGGATGAAGATGGAGGAGGATGGAAATGGACGAGGATGGTGGTGGACATGGGATGCAGTTGAAGAAGTAGCGAGATTAAGAAGGATGGACTTGAGCACAAGCCCTCACCTTCCCCCTGCCGAGCCCCTGATAGTCAGAAGCCGCCTGTATTGCTAAAGGTTTCTTACTGAACTTTGAGCTGTCCACCGACATTGACTGTGAAAAATAAGGAGAAACGCTTTCAGCGCCGGCTTAGCTCAGTGGCAGAGCGTCTGTCTTGTAAACAGAAGGTCAACGGTTCGATCCCGTTAGTCGGCATTTCTTTTTTTGTAGTACCTTCCGTTTCGAAGAAACCTCTGAGGAATTCTCTAACAAGTGTCGACACATTTGCTAGCCGTTCGCCCAAAAGCTAAAGCTTTTTTGCTACGTATAGCGTAAGCGCGTAACGTACTGTCTTCGTGAACCTTGGTGTCCATCATGCTGAGGCAAATAAGAATGACTGTTACTCTTTTTCACGTGTATACCGAGAATGTACCCGCGATATGGCTCCATGGGTGTCTCTGCGACCTTCTCTGTCTCGACGATCCCACCAATTCCGTCCATATACAAGACAATAAAAGCGGCAACTCAGGCTTGATCATAGTATCGGAAGCCATAGCAAGTCGCAATAAAGAGGATATTACATAAGACCTAACTGAATACGAGAACAAAACGGACTCATCGGCCCCTCATCATCATTTAGTTGACAAGCACAAGCTGGAGATGTCGGTCTATCTATGCCTACTGGTTATTACCGTAGCCCGCTCTTTGCACGCTCAGTTAACAGAAAGTTCCACGACTCAATGGTTGTCTTCGACGAAAGCGGACCTTGAGACGCCAGTCAGCACTGGGGTAACGTTGCCTACCTTTCCGTCATCACCATTAACACCTTCGTCGCTGGTAGCTCACAAATATATTAGTTTGGGGACTCTAAGCAGTTATTTGCAGGCACCACTCAACATTCGAGTGGGGTTGATGTTCCCTCTTGACAACTACGTTAGTACGCTGGCATACGAGAACAATGCGGGTGCTGTACCGATTGCGCTGGACCGGGTGTACAGAGATCAACTGTTCCCACCGGGCACCAACTTCACCTTCGTGTGGAAGTTCGGTAATTGCGTTGAGTCCCTTGCCATGGGGTACGCTTTCGAGCTAGTCCGCGACGAAGACGTTGATGTCATCTTTGCGCCACCATGCATCGAAGGTAATTGCTGTGGAAGTTTAAACGTGTACCAGTTGCCATTCAGCTGCGTTAACGGTCGGTCATATTGGCACGTTTTACAACCTACCAGTCGTTCTGTGGGGCTATTGCTTCGACAGTGACTTCACTAAGGCAGACATGTATCCCACTGTTCTTAGCGCAGTTCCGACCTATGGAGAGTATGATTCAAGCTAGAACTAAGGGTCAGACATGGGCGCGTTCAGCCTGAGTAATGTGGTTTGCGCCATGATGGGCTTCTTCGACTGGACGTCCTACGCGCTCATCTACCAAACGACCGATAACGGAGGATGCTTTGCTTTTCAGGAAGACCTCGAAGTAAACGCTAACGATATATACGTATTCTTCTTGGCTTCTGCAATATAATCACTTAAGGCGACGTCCAACGCCCAAGACAGCTGTGTGATCAGCTACAAGGAAATCGTCGATAGCTGGGCCGAAGAAGACATCCAGTATACGGTGAACCAACTGAAGAACAATGCGCGGGGTGAGTCTTTTTTGGTAGCAGTGCAAGAGCACTGGCTTAGAGCGGTCGGTGAGCGAGGCGGCCGTTTACCTGTTGCGCAGTTTCGAACGCCGAGTTTTCTATTGCCAATTCGAGTTTAGTTATCGTTTTGTGCTTTGACGATCCCGTACAACAACGCCTGTTTGCGGTAAAGCTGCAAGAAGCTGGTATGGACGGAGATGACTACGTGTACGTCGTTGCGGACACGGACATGCAGAACAGTGAGTTTTAGCCATTTTTTGTGCTGTGCCTAGACCGCTTTCAGAAGGTCTTAAGGACTATCCTTTCTGGAAGAGCGGTACAAACGACACGAATGCTGATGACCAGAAGGCGTACATGATTGCGGAGAAGATGTTATTCCTCCACGTGGACACCACCAGCGACGTCGCAGACGTATTCACCAACTTCTCCGAGGAAGTTATGGAGAGAGTCAGCGGCTGGCCATTCTACTGCACCAACTGTAGTAGGGGCCAAGAGGTATCCTAGTCGTCAATTAAGTCACTTGGAACAGTGCATTTCAAGGCGTCGCCATACGCCGGATCGCTGTACGACGCGGTGTACCTTTATGCACTTGTACTTTCGCGTGTAATCAACGAGTCCGGAACTAGCCCAGAAGTTTACCGTGACGGGAACAGAATCGCCAAAAACGACGCAATCCAATTTGAAGGTTCAAGGTGCTTCTGGTTTTATTTTATCATGGTCATGCTTAAGGTCTTAGTGGAACTATTGCGATCGGGGAGGATGGCGTACGCAATGCGATTTACATGCTGTCGGCCTATGAAGGAACCGAGGGCAACCTCTATCCATACGTAACATTTGTCGTGTCCGACGGGGGCGTGGTATGTCATGTTTCGCAGAAGCACAAGTGTGACACAAGAGACTTTGTAAAAGACTCACTAACCCCGCTAATGTGAAGTAACCATTCTGCAGACCATTCAGAACGCGTCTGCCATGCACGCTAACGCAGCTTCAACAATCTGGGCATCTCGAGGAGGGGTGAAGCCCCTTTCGACACCAAAATGCGGATTCGACGGCAAGGGTTGCCCAGTGGACTTCCTTGAGGAATACAAGGGATACCTCATCGCTGCGATAGTACTTGCGATATTCATCTTCTTTGGCATCATATACGGAATCATCTACATAATCCGACTGCGATCTTACGAACGCGAAAGGCAGAACCGTCTCTGGCAGATCCCAAGCGTTAGTCTCGTCCGACTGGCGGACCGGGTACGATCTTAACCTCTAGCAAACGCCTCTTCGGTAAAGAAACACTAGTCGTTTAGAACAAGGCGTTGGAAAGCGCTCGTTCCATACGGTCAGGTCCAAGCACCACCTCGACTAAGTTCACGTTCGACAGTGTAAAGAGCAACAAGAACTTCACCATATTTGTTCTTGGCGGCGAACGAGTGATTGGAAAAGTCCATGAGGCCACCACACGGCTAGACGAGCAGGACATGGCGGAGCTAAGAGCGGTAAGATTGGACGACAGTGGTCGTCACAGTTTCGTGGATCTGTCTAGTTTTCGGGGAATGCCAGTTCAGTGGGATTGTTCGATGCCGCCAAACGTCCTTAAATCTGCCCACCCATTGTCTCTCTGGTAAAAATTCGACGGTTTTTAGGTTTCCAAATAGATTATCGCTGCTTCTTAGTCATTTTTAAGAGCACTTGAGTGAATATACTGCCAAAACTAGACAAAGATCCTGTTTTGTAGATGCGACTCCTCTCCGGAGACAACATTAACCGCTTCGTTGGGCTCTCACTGGACGGTGCTCAAGCCCTATCGGTCTGGAGATTCTGTTCACGAGGGACCCTTGCTGTAAGTCAGTAAGTCAGTACATGCTCTAATCCGGCAATGGTTTTGGGACGTGCACAATGCAAGCAACGCGCTCAGCATGGACGGATTCTTCATCTACTCACTGGTTCGCGATGTTTGCGAGGTACGGTCTGCGCATGATGCTCGTCATTTGAGGCGCTTCTTAGGGCTTGTGCTTTCTGCATGCGTCGGCTGTTGGTTGGCACGGCAATCTGCGTTCCACGAATTGCCTAATTGATGACAGATGGCAAGTCAAACTGAGTGACTACGGCTTGAAATTCTTCCGGTCGCTGGAGAAGCGTGAGGCGAAGGGTAACTCCAGCCACCTAGTCGACGCACCAACCGAAGCTGCCTTCTAGAGCTTCTATGGACTGCTCCGGAACTCATCCGTGAGAACAACTTCGTTGGGACTGAACTTGGCGACATTTTCTCCTTCGCCATTGTATGCTCCGAGTTAGTCAACATGAGACCGGCATGGGAAAACGCAGACGATACAAAGGGAAATCCTGAAGGTGGCGTACGTGCTCGAATATGGAAACGTTTTCCGCTTGCAGAAATCGTGTACAAGCTGAAGAAGGGAGGAAGACATCCTGTGCGACCGACGCTCGAACCCGTTGCGCAAGATTTGAACCCGGCTTTTGTAAGCTACATTGTCCAAAGGTTACAATTTTACCTTCTTACAGATGCATCTCATCCGTGACTGCTGGAACGAGACGCCCGCTGACCGCCCGAAGGTAGAAACAGTACGGTCCCTGCTTCAGTCCATGAACACAGCACGGTAAGCTTTCACGCTGTTCAGCGTATAAAGTAGCTGCTAGTCGTTAAGGAGTACTAACCTTATGGATCATGTCTTCACTATGCTTGAACAGGTAAGCATGCATTTCCCGCATTAAGTGGATGGTCATATTACAAATACTTAACCACGTGGTATAGTACGCTGGAAGTCTCGAAGAAGAGGTCGAGGAAAGAACGAAGGAACTGATGGAAGAAAAGAAGAAATCGGACATACTTCTGTACCGCATGTTGCCCAAGTAAGAGCTAATTATGCGCTTAACCCTTCGACGGTTTCAAGGCAAGTGGCAGAGAAGCTTAAGACGGGCCAATCTGTGGAGCCTGAGGCCTTCGATGCAGTTACGATCTTCTTCTCCGACGTAGTTTCATTTACCACGCTGGCTAGTCGTTGCACACCGCTTCAAGTAGTCAATCTACTGGTAAGCCTAACCGTAGTACACGGCAGAGTGTTAGAGACGCAAAAAACCTGCGTTTAGAACGACTTGTATACTGTTTTCGATGGGATCATCGGCGAACACGACGTCTACAAAGGTTCGTTCTTAGCAGGTTACGCTCTATCGACTAATCACGGTTTTAGTGGAAACGATTGGTAAGCTCCAACGACAACGCTGGTTTTCATTGCCGGTTAAGGCGATGGCTATTTGTGCGTCTCTGGACTACCACATCGGAACGGCAACGAGCATGCACGCCAAATAGCCAACATGTCCATGGCGTTCCTACGGAGCTTGGACCGGTTCACGATTCCGCATCTACCCGGCGAACGCATACGACTGCGCATTGGTGCGCATAGTGGACCCTGCGTTGCAGGTGAGTACGATTACATGTTGTGGAGCTAGTACATTGAGTTGAGTCGCGCGATTTTAGGGGTCGTCGGGCTAGCCATGCCTCGATACTGCCTTTTCGGGGACACCGTAAACACGGCATCCAGGATGGAAAGTGGAGGAAAGGGT